TATTTCCACTCAATCCAAAATTAACGACATATATTCCTGCAAATGCAGAAGGTGAGTATCAAAACTTATTCTATCAAAAAATTCCTCAATGCTTTCATTTCCCATACACTGATCCAATTCCCCACGACAAAAAGTCCCTTGTAAATCGTTTCCAAAAGAATCCTCACTGTTCTCCGATCCAATACTCGAAGTTGAGGACCGAGAAATCCCATTCCCCAGTTCAACTTCTTCAACCCCATACCGTTCTTCCCGGGGAAGTTCTCCATTTTCTGAACCACAGAAGTCGTCTCCAAGGGTTTTGTGAAGTTCCCCGGCACCTGGAGTCTCCAGTTCTTGACTTCCTTCAAAATCCCGTGCCTCACCTCGGAATTCTTGGCTTTGAGAGCTCTCGAGAACCTCCAGGAGACGCCCCTTGGGCTCCGGATGCTCCCGGAGATACTGAATAGCTCTGGAGTACCTTTCGGCGTCACTAGACGACATCATGAGCCCCGAGAACGGCCCCTCCACTACAGGATACGGAAAATGGGCCTGGAAGGGTTTTCCTGGGGGTCTGTGAATGCTCTTGAACTTCTCCACCTCCTGGTACATCTGCACAAGATTATTATGGCCCTGGGTCGAGTAAGAATACGTCTCTATGACCTCTTCCTCACTCCGAAGCTCAGGAAACACCCAGAGGAGTGCCCTCTTCTGAGCCTCGAAGAAGTCCCTCCAGGCCACCCAGTACTCCCTGTCCCTACCCTCCAAAAATCGCCCAGAGTTCACAATCTCGTACTCCAGGAGTTGATTCCAGACTCGAGCTTCTTCCAGGACCACTTCCTCATCCTCCCTCAACCTCTTGTCCTCCCCTTTCTCCACCCAGGCTATCAGACTTTTGTACATCTTCACGAGTTCATCATCCGAGTCTTCCAAATCAGGAATCACGAATTTCTTCAAGTCCATGAGAAGATCTGGAGATTCCTCAGGAATTTCATCGACAACCGAGGATTTATTCTCGATTCTCTTCGTGATATCGTAGTCCAGGAACTCCAGCAGCTCCTCCTCGTTTGTCTCCGTCATCTCCGGCAGAATTTCCACCGAGAACTCGACCTTTTCGTTCAATCTCTCGTATTTAGATAAATTCTCCGACGGGAAATTCAGCTCGAGGATCTCACGGTTCTTGGGCTCGACAAATTTAAACGACGGAGGATCTTTTATCGCTGGACGGTCGTTCACCAGGAGATTCCTCACGAAGTCCGTGAGTTTCGGTTTTCTTCTCGAAGTCGAGACCTTTTTGCTCACATCTTCTTCACTCCACTGAACACCAGGAACCGCTGGAAGTTCTCCAGTCTTCAATTGAACCTCTTCTCCCTCGGCATTCTCCCCGCCTTCCTCTGGGGCCTGTGGAATTCTCTCGAAGGTCGAGTCATCAGTCGTCCAGATGTTCTTGGGGAACTCCTCGGGAATTCTCAGCACCGAGAACTTCTCTCCCCCCACCATCACCAAGAGATCCTGAAATTTCTCCAGCTCCTGTTGTCCCACGATGCTGATGACAATCCCATGAGACCCATACCGACCGGCACGACCTGCTCGATGAAGATACGTCGCCCCATCATTTGGAATATCGAAATTAACCACTAGATTCACATTCTCTGCGTCGATCCCTCGAGCTGTCAAATCAGTTGTAAATAAAATTCTGCATTTGCAGTTCTTCAATTTATTAATAGTCTCAATTCTCTTCTTCATCTCTTGACTCCCAACGATAAACGTCGAGGGATGCAATGGATTCACCCGATTGCATATCGATTGGGCCCTAGTCTGATAATTACAGAATACAAGACACTGCTTGAAGGGAACTCTAGACAGAATTTTCGTGAGCTCATCGATCTTCACCTGGATCTGCCTCATGGCATTTGGATGAGAAGGAACAACAGCCACGAACTGCCTCAGGCCCTTGAGGACTGGCCCACCAGCATCTGGTGTCAATAAAACTGGAGAAATCATGTACGTGGATAAGAATAATTCAAGATCCCCAGGATATGTTGCACTAGAGGACAAGAATTGCTTGTTCCTCGGTAATTTAGCGAAGATGTAATTAACGTCTGACTGGAAGCTTTGATCCATCAATTTGTCAGCCTCGTCCAGGACCATCAGGCGAACGCTCTCCACCTGGAGAAATCCTTTTTCGATCAGATGTTTTATTCTTCCAGGGGCACCAACTGCGATGTGACAGGTACTGGCTTTTGATCTGTCATTTTGAATAGCTGTCCCTCCGATGAAGCACTGGACCTTCAGTCCTTTCACCTCAGATCCCACAGCAGAAAGTACATCCGAAATTTGAAGCGCTATTTCCCTGGTGGGAGCCAGAATAAT